TTTTTTGAAATGATTACTTAAATAGATTTGTATTTAAAGTATAAACAGAAACAGTAATTGAATGACAAAGCATTTTATTATAATATAAGTTTACTCAATTTTAAGTCATTTTTATTTGATTAATAAAGATTCATGAGTATTTAAATAAATACTACTTTAATCCATAATGTACCAGTATTCTATAAACTTTAGAATACTAGTGTTGTATATACTCAGTTTAAATAGTAATAAATAGTAAATGCATACATCACTAGTTGGTTTCTGGAAACCATATCTGTGCGTCTAAGAAATATACATTACTAATAATAGTGACATTTTTACATTTATAACAGAATTTTAACATTAGTCAAATTAATATTATTGCCATTAATTAAAATAATTTTGACAGCAATTTTTAATATTAGTTATATCGTATATCAAGTTAAAATCATTTGAAATATATTAATTTTGTTGAATCTCATTTGGTTTCAAATAGCCATCAAAATCACACTGGGCATAAATAATTTCAGGACCTTTATTAGTCACAGATTTATCTCGACTATTTGAATTTATACAATCGGTTGAAGTATTCAATTTCAATATATCCCTTATATGACGTACAATCTCATTAAACGTAGGCCTACCATGGTGATCCTTTAACCAACACCGGGACATAATATCATACACAGATTGGGGGCAATATTGGGGTCGACATAACCGATTACCATCTTGCAAATACTTAACTATAAGTCTACTTTCAATAAATTTATACGGTATATCACCACGGGTAAATATTTCCCATACTAATACCCCATAGGACCAGACATCTGATTTCATACTATATATACCCCTTAGCAGGGTTTCCGGTGCCATCCATTTGACAGGAAGTTTGTATTTAGTATTATCACTGCTATAATAATCTGATTCATATACATCCCGCAAAAGTCCGAAATCACCTATTTTTACACATAGGGTCTCGTCAAGGAAACAGTTCCTTGCTGCTATATTACGATGCACGTAGCGTTGTATGGATAGGTAATACATGCCTATTTAGAAATATAAATTAATCAACAATAATTTGTTAAATTATTTTAGTATACCTTCAGCAATGTCCAGTGCAAAGTGTAGTAATTTTTGAGCAGTTAGATTATTATTCCCATTACGTAGATAGGTTAATAGGTCACCATTTTCCATAAACGGTAACAAAATGATAGGCATTTCCGTGTCATCAAAAGTTACCCCAACAAGGGATAAGATATTTTTGTGGTTGAAGTCCCTTATGGAAATGGCCTCGTTAATCAATGCGTCCACGTTCACTTCACTTTCATTAATAGCTTTGTTTTTACAAGATTAAAATTGTAATTAAGATCAAAATTAAAATTATCGGTATATAATAAGGTGACCTAAAAATTTAGCTACTTACTTTTGGCTGCAACCTTTTTGTACGAGCTGTAACAGGTCCTATCAGGAGTTTTGATATATGCGCAGTAAACTTTCCCAAAATCACCATGACCAATTTCGTTACGCAATTCAATATCGTTGAAATGTACGAGCAAACCACAATTATATAATGTTTTAAGTGCCTCCCTTGGCACTTTAGTATTATTACCGATAGTATAGAACTCGTTGGGCATCAACCCAGAGGTCTCAACAAGATCTATTTCGTAAAAATCAATTAATTAATTAAATAATTTTAAAAATTTCTATAAATACAAGTATACCAATTTCTTCTTTATGATCACGTGGAGCTCTATTTTTGTCATCTAGGTCATTATTTTTATTGCGACAATACCACAATATAAAAGCCAGTCCAAGTATTATAATAATTGTTATTATAGGTATGGCACATATCAATATAATCCAAATTAAATTATCTGGATTATTTTCGATTACTTTTGAATACTCAACAGTTGAACTGTCAGAAGTAAAATCAGGCTCAATAACGGAAACTTGGTCAATTGTAACAGGTTCACTGTGGCCATTATTTTTAACCTTGAAATTTATATTAATTTCGACGTTAGTGTCCACTAAATATTCACGTGAATTTTCTACCATGCTTTTTACAAATGGTCTTGTATATTCATGATCATTTATTGTAGACATTGAAGGTAATATAATTATAATTGTAACGATTATAAGCATTCGCATCATCTTCAATTAATTTTCTAATTTGAATAACCTGAAAATGACATTATTAATTTGTTTAATATTTTAATTCTTAATTAATTTTTAAGATTATATTTTATATTATTACAACGAAAATAAAAATAAATATCGATTTTCTGAACATTTTAAAATAATTAATATATTATGAGTTAAGTCAATTTTATAGATACCTCATATGAATTTTACTTGATGTAGAAATTAATAGTTTTTACAGAGTATAATTTACATTAAATCATTTAAACACTAAAAGATTGTATTACTTGAAATATATAACTTTAAAAAGTCAATATAAATTTAATATTAGTTTTTTAAAATGTATTTCTTGACTAAAAAATTGAGCAGTGAACAATCTATATTACTCATAATGTTTATCAATATGTTTTGTTGCCTTAGTAATTAATGATAATTTTATATTATCAATTTTGTGTTCAATTTGGCAATATGATATACTTAAATATTTTATACTTTTTAATTATATTGCAACACAGTACTGCATTAAACAACTGGTAATATTAATATAAATTATATTAGAATAGTGCCACACCTTTATTAATTGTTTATATAATGAATATAAAAATATATTATTGCATGACATTACTAAAATAAGAAATTATTGTTTTTAATATTTGTTATTAAATTATTCATAAAAATATTTCTATTAATTGTATATTCACGTATTATTTTTGTGTATTAACAAATTTCAATAACTATAATATTAAAAGATTATAAGTTATCAGTGTTATTTCATTTCCTTTAATATTATATCAGTGTTGATCTTAGTTGTAAGTAGGTGAATTTCCTGACAATAGTCATTATTAAACTGTTAATGACACATTTATACATATAACATTATGTAATCAAAATAATATTTGTAATTTATTGTTTAAACATAATTTATTTTAAAATAATTATTCATTTATTTTTGTTAAATTATATTACACAATAAAAATATTTATAATAAACTTTCATTATCACTAGACTAACTTTAGATTATCATTTTTGTGTAGGTATTATATTTAATAACCTTTGATTTTACTAAAGTGTGTCAACAAGGTTATGTAATAATTAAATACATAATACTGTATACTTCCTGTGTGGTAGCATAATGAGTTGATAACTTAACTTTGAAGGTTTTATAAATACTATTAATTAGTTTTATCATTTTCATTTAATTGGTATCATGGTTGTGGGTTTAGATTATAGTGTATAATTATGAATCACAAAAATTATACGAATACTTAAAAAGTATAATTTACAATTTATTTAATAAAATATGTGTCAGGGAAAGCCAGACAGTGTCAAGTCCCAATGCAAATACATTACAATGAACTATTGGTAACTCATTGGTCAATAAGATAAATGTAATTATGTATAACTTTATAGTTATCTTCAAATTACAATAAAATATGAATTTAAAAGTTAACTATTAAATTAATTAAAATTTTTTAGAAATTGCAATATTGACTAATGAGTTGTACTTTTATATTTAAGCTTTACCATAACCAATCTTACCGTAATATATAATTATCATTATTCCTTTTTTAATATAATAAATAATTTTAAAATATATATGTTATTTTTACTACGATTATAATACAATGCATTATTATTGAAATCAAGTTTACAAAATATACAAAGGTAGAATATCAATGTTACCTTTAGCAATAATCTTAAGTAATACTGAGTGATAAAAACATAAGGTTTTTAAAGCTTAGCAATTGAAATGCATAGATTGAAAACACTATTGCTACATTACAATTTATATTAGAAACTTTTCATGTTATAATAGCCATTATTATTTAAATGTTTTACAAAGCCACATTAGTCAATTCTGGCAATACATAATTAATCATACTCATTACCTGTTACCAGTGACACCATTTTCAAAATGAGTCAGTCAACAAAACAGTCAGCGGTAGCATCGGTATCTGAGATGTTCACCTATTGGATCAACCCATCGGAAATAACATTAGAAGAGGTTTGTGTTACTTCGATGTCCATAAACGTCCAAAATATGAGTAGCTAGTACAATTATTGATGCTATTCATATAGTTTATTCCAATGTATAGTAAAGTTAATAATATTGCTGTATATATGGGACAGGTAGTGGGCCACGGCTCGTACGGTGTGGTCCGACGGGGATTATGGAGGGGACAGGGGGTGGCAATTAAGGAGATCAAACGCAACGATAAGGAGGCGTTCGACACTGAGCTAAAACAACTGTCCCGTGTGTCGGCTCACCCTAATATAATCAGTTTATTTGGCGCCGTTAGGGACAAGGAGGTCGTGTCACTGGTCATGGAGTTCGCAAAAGGGGGCAGTCTTTACAAAGGTATATATTTTATATATAGGGGGCATTTAATTAATTCTTTTAATGATAACTACTATATTTAATAAAATAGTATTTGGATATAATTTATTATTATTTAAAATACAATTTATTTACACGTATTAATTATGGTGCTACTAGTGCTACACTCGGAACCACCGGTGCTTTACAGCCTATCGGAAGCCATTTCATGGGTACACCAGTGCGCGAGTGGTGTCGCATACCTGCACTCAATGCGACCCAAAGCTATGATCCATAGGGACCTTAAGTCTCAAAAGTATATATATTTTACTTGTTTTGTTGATAAAAAAGGCAAATAAAATTATCATGCTCATGTTTAGCCTGCTTTTGGTAAACGGTCGAGCGGTTAAGATATGCGATTTCGGTACCGCGTGCGACATTCGCACCATTATGACCAATAATAGGGTATGTCATACATTATACGTTATTTTTATCTATCTACACTCCGCGTCATATTGATAGAGTCAGGCGTATTTCTCGGTTAATTCACGGGGTAGGTCAGATAATCATATGATAAATTAACAGCAATTAGA